AAAAGGAATCCTGTACTGCCCCTATTGCCCCAACTTCCAGAACATGCACTCAGAGAACAAATTTATATTTTTTGTAGTTAGCCAGATTCCCAAGTACCTCACTTTTTTACCACTTTTATTCCATACATCCTTTCCAATTCTTCATTGTCTTCTTTTTGATGTTCTTGGTCAGTATTTTAGTTTTTACTTTGTTTAGTTTAAATCCGGACAGCCTACCAAATTCCTCTATCTTTCTCACGCAGCGCCCATACTTCTTTGTGGATTTTCTAGTGAGAGCATTAAATCGTCCGCGTATGCTTTAATTAAATTCTTTAGTTCCTATTTTAATCCCTGATCTCTGATGTTGCTCTTATCTTATTTAGAATCACTCCAGAGCCATAATAAATAAAAGTGGTGACAGGGGGCATCCCTGTCTGGTGCCTTTTTCGATCTTAAAAGAATTTGTTAGTTATTATTTATAATTAATTTTGCGGACTGAGTAGAATATATTGCTTTTATACCCTCCATAAACTCACCTTCCAATCCAACTTTCTCCATGCTCTTCAATAGGAATTCCCAAGAGACGTTATCAAATGCCTTTTCGGCGTCTATAAAAATTAGCGCCGCGGGAATTTCATTTTTGTCCTCTAGATATTCAATAAGGTCGACCGTGTGTCTTATGTTATCTTTCAAAAATCTGTTTGGAAGGAAGCCGGCCTGATCTTTATGTATTATATTTACTAAGCATTTCTTCAGCCTATTTGCCATCACTTCCGCAAGGATTTTATAATCGTTATTCAAAAGGGAAATTGGCCTATAATTCTTGATATCTAATCTATCTGTATCCGGTTTAGGGATCATTGTAATATGAGCCTCCTTCCATGTTGCTGGCACCTTTCTTCCTTTTAAGATATTATTCATTACCTCGCTCAGCACTGGTGTTAATTGGCTTTCAAATACTTTATAATATTTTGCCGATAGGCCATCCGGCCCAGGGGCTTTCCCCAATTTCATTTTTCTTATTGCACCTTGGATTTCCTCTGTTCTTATGGGGTTGTTTAATTGAATTCTTTCCTCCTCTGTTATATTCCTCCCACTATAATTTTCTAAATATTTCTCTATTTGGGTTACGTCCTCATGCTCTTTTATATAGTTTCTCATAAAATTTAAGAAAATTTTCTTTTATTTCTTTTGGATCTTCTATCATCAGCTCATTTATCCTTATTTTATTTATAACGCTTTGCTTTTGTCTTTTTCTGAGTTGCCAGGCTAGTAATTTACCCGTTTATTGGCAGACTCAAAGTATCTCTGTTTCATTAATTTAATCCTCCATTCTATTTCTTCATTTGTCAACATTGAGTACTGCGCTTGTAACATTTTTATCATTTGTATGTTTTGTTCATCTTTTGGGTTCTTTATTAGTTTTCTCTCACAATCTTCTATCTGTGTTAAAATTTCTTCTTTCTTCTTATCTCTAACCTTCTTCCTATAACTATTTTGTTGGATGAAGAACCCTCTTAATACCGCCTTACTGGCGTCCCACACCGTATCAATCCCTACTTCTGAGTTCAGATTTAGCTCCATATAGTTTTTTAAGGTAAGTTTAGCTTTTTCCACCACTTCTTCATTCTCCAATAAGTATTCATTTAATCTCCATCTAAATTCACCTTGCGATTTACCTTTTATGATCGAGATTATTGAATTATGGTCAGAAAATGTTCTGGGTTGTATTTCGCATTTTATAATTCTCACTGAGAGCTCTCTTGATACCCACACTTGATCGATTCTTCCCCAACTCTTATGCACCTCCGAGAAAAGGTAAATTGCTTCTCTAA